TTACAAGAGGTATAATGACTTCAAAATTTTTGAATTTTATTTTAAAGCTGAGGAATTAAGCCCTACTTGGTGCAAAGACAATTTTAAGAATATTTTCATATTTTGAAAACAAAGTCGGCCTTGACAGTGAATCAAAAACTATTTTTGTTTCAGGTAAAGTAACCTTTTTGTTCATGATACGGAAAGATTTCATTAAAATAAGTTGTTCAAAATGAGAAATTATGGTCTTATTCAAAATTTCAGAAGGATCTATCTACTTTGGTTGAACCATCACATTTTAGTTTAAATAGCATAAATATTGTATAATTTTAGTTTATTTATAAAAAGTCTGACGTAAACATAACTGTCGTTTATTCAACATGACATCCATCTTTTGTTGCATACTTTTCTATACAATGCCTAAATTCTCTAAAGCTAATTTTCTATTGTCGTTATATTTCTTTGTCTCTCCCTTAACGTTAACGACGCTTCCCGAAGTAAGAAATTTCTTAACTATTCGCATAACAGTCATACGTGTAAGATTGGTATTAGGAAATCTCTCGATAAACTGCTGCACCACTGCTCTTAGTAAACTTTGCCCAAGCTCTTAACACTGCACGTAAAGCAAGAATAATTGAAATGTCAACTAAAACTGAGGGATAATACATTTTTTATGGCATATTTCATTGTTGTCTTTTTTCACTCTGATATAATCTAAAATATGGTTGTTTAATCAATTCTGAAATTTTGCATAGTGCCATAATTTCTCATTCTGAACAACTTTTCTTAATGCAATTGTGCCGTATCATAACCAGAAAGCTTACTTTACCTGAACTAAAAATAGTTTCTTCAATTCTACCTTCGAAATTGTCAGTTTCTAACTTGGATACGAGTGTTGAAAGTTGTTATTTGCATTCACTCTGCTGACTTTTATAGAAACGAGTGAGTGAAAATTTTTATCACTCACTCAAATTTTTTTCAAGCACTGTTAGCATAATACAGGGTGCTAACGGTGGAAGTAACTTTGCAGGCCTATAACTCCTCAGATGTACAACTTAGTATAGAGGTAAGTTACGTTAAATCATCTTAATTTATTGTCCGCTACATGTACCTGCTCTGTCGGTTCTTATGTAAATCACCCTGTATAAAACCTTTAAAGGAACAACTCTGTTTAAACGTAATGGATGTTAACTAAAAAACGGTGGACAGCACACGTGGAAAGTTAATTAAGTATTTCAGTTGTATAAATAAAATTATTAATTTTAATCAAATTTTTAATTTACGCGTAATGATGACAATTAAAAATTTGACACAAATGGTCTCCTGTATCAGCCTCCACGCATCATCCGTTATTCATTTTCCTCCTTGAGTTCTTTCCTCTCTCTCAGTATGCTTCTGTTTGTTTTAATTATGTCTTTTTCTGCCTTTTTATTGTGTGTTATTTAAGTGATTCCGACTTTGTATCTGATACTGTTTCGACGTTTCTCTTTCTTTCAGTCAATTTTTGTATTTTAAAATTAATTAACTCAATTGCGTTCAAAAAATCGTCAAAAATTAATCGTTAAAGATACATTTATATAATTTTTAAGAATTATAGAAGAAAGTATCAGCTTTTCAACGAAAAAGACCGTTTTTCAAAATATCTTTTAGTTCTTGAGATATTAATTTTTTAAACTCAGTCAATTTTTATATTTTAAAGTTAATTAACTCAATTGCGTTCAAAAAATCGTCAAAAATTAATCGTTAAAGATACAATTATATAATGTTTAAGAATTATAGAAGAAAGTATCAGCTTTTCAACGAAAAAGACCGTTTTTCAAAATATCTTCTAGTTCTTGAGATATTAATGTTTTAAACTCAGTCAATTTTTATATTTTAAAGTTAATTAACTCAATTACGTTCAAAAAATCGTCAAAAATTAATCGTTAAAGATACATTTATATAATTTTTAAGAATTATAGAAGAAACCGTTTTTCAAAATATCTTTTAGTTCTTGAGATATTAATTTTTAAACATCTCAAGGCAATTTGGCATTTTTTAGGAAAACAATCATTTTCAAAAAATCGTAATAAATCGTAGCTTTAATGAATTGCAGTATGTTACAAAAAAACTTTTACCACAAAAGTTGTAGCAAATTTTATTGTTAACAATATTGCTCTCTTGCACTTTTGCTCTTAGATACATCAATATCGAGGTAGATACGAAAATATGAAAATTTAATGAATTTGTTGCTTTTTCAAGTGATTAAAGGTAACCTTTAGGAATCGCAGCATGTTACAAAAAAACTTTTAGCACAAAAGTTGTAGCAAATTTTATTGTTAACAATATTGCTCTCTTACACTTTTGCTATTAGATGCGTCAATATCGTGATAGATACGAAAATATGAAAATTTGATGAATCTGTAGCTGGTTCAAGTTATTATAGGTAACACTTGGGAATCGGAGCATGCTATAGGAAATCTTTTATAACAAAAATTGTTACAAATTTTATTGTTAACAATATTGTTCTCTTACACTTTTGCTCTAAGATACATCAATATCGAGGTAGATACGAAAATATGAAAATTTGATGAATTTGTTGCTTTTTCAAGTGATTATAGGTAATACACGGGAATCGCTGTGTCTTACAAAAAAATGTTTACAATAAAAGTTATAGCAAATTTTATTGTTAACAATATTGTTCTGTTACACTTTTACTCTCAGACGCATAGAAATCGAGAAAAATTCGAAAAGGTGACAGATGAAATCGTGGTTTTGCATCTTGTTGGTAGAGGATGAATGAGAAATTCGGAACGTTTTAGAAAAAAAGTTTTCAGATAAAAGTTGTAGCAAATTTCATTCTTAACAATATTGCTCTCTTGCACTTTTGCTCTTAGATACGTCAATATCGAAAAAAATACGAAAATATGAATTGTTTTACTATTAGCTAATGACAACATTCGGGAATCGAAGCATGTTACAAAAATACTTTTACAACAAAAGTTGTAGCAAAATTTATTCTTAAAAATATTGTTCTCTTTCACTTTTGCTCTCAGTTGTGTCAATATCGAGAAAACACAAAAATGCGAAAATTTAATGAATTTTGTTGTTTTACTTGCTCTTAATGGTAACATTTGGGAATCTGAGCATGTTATCAAAAAACTTTAATAACAATAGTTGTAGCAAATTTTATTGTTAACAATATTGCTCTCTTGTATTTTTGCTCTCAGATACGTCAATATCGAGAAAAATACGAAGATATGAAAATTGGAAATTTTAGCATAAAATGGAAGAAATTCTCCATATTTCTCAAAAATTGAATAATAAAAATAGGAAAAAGTAAAAACTTTTTGTGAGAAATATTAAAAATACTTAATTTATTTCAAAAAGTAAACATGTTTCGAAACAAATGTTTCATCTTCAGTACCTGTTTTAGGAAAAAGAAAAAATTTAACAAACGTTAAACGGAACTTCAATAATAACATTAAAAGGTGAGAGTATCGGATTTGAAAAAGTAAATTTACTTGAAATAATTACAAAACGATGGAAAAATTTTAAAATATGTTGGAAATAGGAATGAGTTTTGGTTTTCTTTCTTAAATACAAAATATTTGTAAAAAGTATTTTACAAAATCAAAATAAATAAAATCCTTTAAATATCTTGGAAATTAGCTTGTATGTTAAGGGTGTGATCGTAAAAACATTATATTAATAGTACACGTACTGAATTCGAAATGCGGAAAATTAAATCTAAAAATTTGACGGGCAATCATTTGAATTTGTGGAATTTGTGGTAAATTGGAGCATGTTATAAAAAAACTTTTGGAACGAAAGTTGTAGCTAATCTTATTGTTAACAATATTGCTCTGTTGTATATTTGCTCTCAGATGCGTCAATATTGACAAAAATACGAAAATTTAAGAATTTGATGAATTTCCTTGTTTTACTATTAGCTAATGGTAACATTTGCGAATGGGAGCATGTTATCAAAAAACTTTTAGAACAAAAGTTGTAGCTAATCTTATTCTTAACAATATTGCTCTCTAGTATATTTGCTCTCAGATGCGTCAATAATTAGAAAAATACGAAAATTTAAAAATTTCATGAATTTCCTTGTTTTGCTATTAGCTAATGATAACATTCGGGAATTGAATACTTTTAGAACAAAAGTTGTAGCTAATCTTATTCTTAACAATATTGCTCTCTTGTATATTTGCTCTCAGATGCGTCAATAATTAGAAAAATACGAAAATTTAAAAATTTCATGAATTTCCTTGTTTTGCAATTAGCTAATGGTATCATTCGGGAATAGAAGCATGTCACAAAAATACTTTTAATATCTTTTAGTCTCTCTTTCTGTTGTTTGTGTTTTGACATAGTTGTAGGAAAAGATTGTGAAATTTGACCAGGTTCAGTTTTCCTTTTTTTGCCCTGTGGTATTTGCCTGTTTGTTGCTAATCGTCAATCGGATATCGACGATCATCATATGATGGTTGCTCGCCGCATCTGCACCCTTTTTATATTTCGCACATCTAGTAATGAGCTTCGCCACCTTCCGCTTATCACTATAATATAATCAATTTGGTTTTGTGTTCTGCAATCTGGTAACAATCTGGTAACCAAGATATTTTGTATATGGTTTTGTGTGGGAAGAATGTTTCTTCAATAATTCAGCGTTGTTATTTCTACTTCCTAGGCCATGTTTTCTCATGATTCAGATCGCCTATTATCAAAGTTATCAGATATTGGGGCTATCAGATACTGGGAACATCTCTGTCATACCTATTCCGTTGGTTTGATTTTCTCCATCATTCCCTGACTAGGTTAGGATTTTACCACATGCCGTTATATGTTCTCCTTGTCTAAGCCACCAGTTTTTGTGTTATATTTTAGTTCTAATCGCACTACAATCTTTTTCATATATTTGTCCTTCACTGTTTTGTTTTTGTTTCAAATCTTTAAATATTTTGAAGGTCTGAATAAGAATAAAGACACCATTATTGTGACTTCAATTGAGGAGTTATGGTACACAAACATTATTTTATGACTATTGTTTATTAACCCTTCTAAAAATCAATCATAATTGATTCTTTACTGCATTAAACATCAAAATTATTTCAAATTATCTAAATTAACTTTGTAATTTGGAATCCCCCGAGCACCAGTTCCAGTAACCTTAAAAACTGCCCCAGCAGGTTCTTTTTGTTCAACACCTTTCACGGTTAATCTAGCACTGGTTACGTAGAGTTCATCTAAATTGGGTCCTCCAAAAGCTGCTGCAGTTATCTAAAAAAAATTAAAATCAATAAAAAAAAATTAAAAGAAGATTACTTTTTACTTGTTTGCAAGGAAAAGTAAGCTTTTTAATTAATTCCGATGTATTTGGATTAATGTGTAATAAACAACCCCCATCAAAAACGGCAACCCATAAGTTTCCATCTGTATCAATAGTCATCCCATCGGGAACACCGGGAATTTTATGGGAATCCAAATCAAAAATCACCTTTCTATTGGCTAAAAAAAATAAATTAATCTAACAATAAGATATTTCAACCTAAAATTGATTTACTTATAGTTCCTTTAACAATGTCATAATCGTATTGATCAACAGTTCTTTTTGGTGAATCAATATAATACATTTTCTTCAATTTGGTATTCCAAGCCAACCCGTTAGCAATGCTAACTTTCGATAAATGCTTTTTTACCTCCGCTTTTCCAATTAACGTGTACAAACTACCCATTTCCGGTTCTAATTTTCCAATTTCTGGCTCAGGTCCCATAGTTCCCGCCCATAATCTTCCAGCAGGATCAGCTTTACCATCGTTAAAACGATTCCCGCGAGTTTCCGGTTCATTTTCAACTTCAATTAACGTTTCAATCTTCGATGGTTTTTCACTTACACCATCCCAGGTTATTACGGCTAATTTCCGACCTATACTGATTAAGAAAAGATCAGAGTGACCTTCAACTGGTACGAGTAAAGATACTGGTCCTCCTTCTGCAAATAAAGTTAATATAAGAAAATTATTGTTTGTTTTTGAATTCTTACCAATATAAGTTTGTGTGTGAGTGTTTGTTGCTGGAGTATATTTATGGACACTTTGTCCTAAGATGTCGACATAAAAAAGACTTTGGATGTATGGATCCCAATGAGGACCTTCACCTAAAGTTACTCTTTCAGTGACAACTTCGATTATTGGTGCCATTGCGAATAAAAAGATTCGAATGTTGTTTTATTTTTCGGAACTTGAGTTTTTATAGTACTTTTGTATCTCTTTTTAATTAACCCTTAAGGTCGTTCAATTTTCGGATATTGATAACATATTTTGGTTATAAAAGCTTTTTTAATAATGGTTACGGAAAGATTTTAATTAACATTTTAATTGATTCGTATTCAATTTTTAAAGAATCCATTAATATCGTTGATGATTGATTTAGAGAATTTCTAATTAAAATTTTAATGTTTTCTTTGAAACTTTAAATTAACTCGTAAACCTGAAGAAAATTCCATATTATTTCATCATTATGTAATTTTCCTTCACAACAATTTGATAAGCAATAATCTCATACAATAAAAAACAGTACAACTTGATAATAATGCCATATTATCAAAGCAAATATGAAATAACATGTTTAGAAGTCTCCGTATCAACAACGCTAAATAACTCATTTAATAGTCAGTTAGCTTTCGTGGTGATCGCAATACGACGTGATTCATTCTCTTTCGATATTTGAAAAGAATCATGGTGATTGTTGAGCGTCTTTTAGGTACAACAGAATTGGGTGAAGGTCCCCATTGGGATGTTACCTCTCAATGTCTTTATTACGTTGACATTTTCAGTAAATCTATCCATAAATATGACCCCGTTACGAAATTACATACTGAAGCGGTGTTAGGTGAGTTATCTTTAAAAAATGACCTTGATTCATAAAGTTATAGGCAACTTATCCATCAATTATTTTTATTTTCAAAGATAAAAGTCCTTCTTTTATAATACCAATTGAAGGTGAAAAAAATAAATTCCTTATCAGTCAAGAGAGAGATATTGTTGTTATAACATGGGATGGAGTTAGTAATAAAATATCTGATTTGAAAAAACTTGTTGAAGTTGATACAAATCCGGATGTATTGGGAAATCGAATTAATGATGCTAAATGTGATGCATCTGGGAGACTTTGGGCTGGTATATATCGATTTAAAAAAACTTCTTAAATAATTAAAAAAATAATTAATTAGGTACGATGGGTGCTGAAGAAGTTAAAGGTCATATTAAACCGGAAATGGGAACTTTGTACAGTTTTGATACTAAACGAGGTTTAAAAGGGCATGTTAAAGGAATTGGTTGTTCGAATGGTTTATCTTGGAGCTTGGATAATACAAAAATGTATTACATCGACACCTTTCAAAGAGCTATTCATCAATATGATTTCGATCTTGAATCAGGAAACATAAGTACACTTGAAGTAACCTTAAAAAAATAATTAAAAAAAATATAATTTTTTAAGGTAACAAACAAGTAATTTTTTCTTTGGATGAAATGAAAATTGATGGTTACCCTGATGGTCAAACGATCGATGCTGATGGTAACATTTGGTTTGCAATTTTTGGTGGTCAAAAAGTTATTCAAATTGACCCGAGAAAGAAAAATACCATTATACAAATAATTGAGATTCCAGCAAAACAAGTAACTTCCGTTGCTTTTGGTGGAAAAAATTTAGACGAACTCTTTATTACGACTGCTTGTTTTGAAATTGACGGTGCAGTTCTTCCTCCGCCACAACACGGAGCTTTATACAGAGTTACTAATTTGGGAGTTAAAGGATTAAAAGCAGTTAATGCAAAAATTAATTAAACATTCTCTATGAACTTAAAATCTTTTTAATTTTTTTTCTAAAATTAATGATTTTTAAAAAAATGTTATAAATACAGTAATTAATAACTTTGTTTAAATGCTAATGGTTAAAATATTTAATTTTATTTTACAATTCTTTTTGACATTTTTAATTTGCCAATTTGGAAAACTTTTTCAATACCATTCGAAGTTACATTGAGTGCAGAACTGTTAATTGAGATGTTTAATGTATAAGTGGGATCCTAAGCTGAATAAAAATCGTTGCTATCATGTACATGCTTATCTTTTATTTGTACCTCTTGACTCACCAACCTTATCAGAATATTGAAAAAAAATCTGAAAAGTCACAAGTGTAATTTTATACATATGGGCACTTTCATATAACTCGCAATATACACGGTGGTTCAGTTTTTAGTCGGGAAACTTTATAAGAATGTAGTACTTACCAAAATAAACAAGTTTTTTATAAAAACATAGGGTCGCAACTCTTTTGTTTTCGAGCAAAAATTTACATTTTGCTCTGTATTTCACCTATGCGAAGTTACCTCCAATTTTTCTAGCCCCCAATTATCAATAATGTATAGTTCTTCATTAGCAAGAATACTAGATTCTTCCAACGGTAACTTGTTTTCTGCAAGCAGTCGGTCTTCTATAAGGATGATACAGTCTTTTATTGTAGTCATGGTTTTGTAATCGCTTGAATGAGGGTAAACGTCTTTTTAAAAGAGACTTAATAATAATAATAATAAACAATATTTATTGGTTCACATAATAACAATAAATACATTGGGAATATACAAATTAATTCGAAACAATGAACCAAAGAGAATTGAGTCGGTTTGGCTAACACCAATCAATGGTGTAAGCCTACTGTTTTTCATCAATCCTCAAATTAAATTACATACTACTAGTGGAAATTAAACTAAACGACACAATACGATGTACGTCGCACAATCAAAAGAAAAAGAGAGGAAAAAAAGAGAACAAAACGAAAATGAAATGAGATAAGAAAAAAATAAAATATAATATAATATATAACTAAAATAAAAGTAAAACAAATTCCTTACATATTATATAAATTATGTAGATGTACAGGGTGTCCCTGTAATTGTCCCCTGTAATTGGGACACCCTGTACTGTAGAAAGAAAACAAATAGAAAAAGAAAAGAAAAAAAAGGGCAGCGAAGGAAGACAGAGAGAATAGAAGAGAATAGAGAATAAGAAAAAAGAAAGAAAGGGGGAAAGGAACCGGCGCTATTCCGTCTACTCAAAACCATTTTGTTGGTTAAGCATAAATTTCTTTACCTCTATCTTGAATCTTTTACAAGAGGTTTGTTCCAACAAGCGGTCGGACTTGTCCGTTACTCGTCAAATGCAATCGCACATGTCAAGTAATGTCGTCACATTTCAGCGGATTTCATTGCATTATTTAACTGTGCGATTGCATTTGACGAGTCCACGACGAGTCAAACCGCTGGTTGGAACAAACCTAAGATAAACGTTTTAAAGAATCCGGCAGAGGGTTGTACATGTTAGGCACACAATAAGAGAACGATCTTTTATAAATTTCATAATTGTGCCTTGGGATTGTTAAAGCATGCCGATGCCTAACATTGACATTGTGAACATCAGTTCTGTAACGTATCTTATTATATAGGTAAGGCAGACTCCTAAACATAATGACTCTATGATACAAGCATAACGAGTGAAGAACTCTTCTACGAGCCATGTTCAACCAACCCACCCAACCAAGCGAGTGAGATATATGCTCCCATGTTTTTATTCCGTAAATAAATCGTAAACATGAATTTTGTAACTTTTGAATTTTATATGTGGTTATACTGTCCAAACAAGAATAATATATAAGAGCTCCGTAATTAAATATAGAAAGCACTAAAGTGTCACATAAATGAATTTTTAGTTTAGTGCTTAAAATGTGCTTATTAGAATATAACAGTTTTAAAGTGGAATATGCTCTTTGTAGTAGGGAGCCAGCATGCTTCCTAAATCTGAGATCCTCCTCAATGATCATACCCAGATTCTTCGCACTGTCTCCAAAAGTCAGTGTGTGTCCGTCAATTATAATATTAAGGTTAGATTTGACATACCGGACTGCACTCGAAGCACCGAAAACCATCACGAATGACTTAGAGCCATTAACACTAAGATTAAGCTTTTTTGCAAGTTGAATTAAGTTTCCTACGTCGATATTTATATTTCTTTCCGCATTTAACAAGTCAGTTAGTTCAAAAGAACAGCGTAATTGTGTGTCATCAGCATACATATATGGCGTACAATATTTTAACATATTAGCTAGTTCACATGTATAAATCAAATATAATAGTGGTCCCAGAATAGAGCCTTGTGGTACTCCAGAAATTATATTTACTGCAGAAGATTGAGCATTATGGAAAGTAACAATTTGCGAGCGGTCGGCAAAGCCCAATATAGTGCAAGATAGCTAGCAAGGTTTTGTGGTTTAAACGGTCAAAAGCCTTAGAAAAATCTAAAAGAATGAGGACTGAGACCTTTTTATTATCAATAGCTCCAAAAATGTCATCCGTCACGTCCAGCAGCGCGGTGGTACAGCTAAATCCCGGTCGGAATCCAGATTGAAAAACAGGTAAAATATCAAACCTTTCCAAATGCTTACGTAATCTAAGAGCAATGATCCTCTCAAGAACCTTGGAGAGGACAAACAAGATACTTATAGGACGCAGATCGGCCAACTGTGCAGGATTCTTAGTTTTCGGGATTGGGATAACAAATGCACATTTCCAAGCATTGGGAAACACAGAGTCTTCAAGACAACAATTGATAATGTGGCAAATATAAGGTAGTACATGTGGACAACAAAGCAAGATCATCCTAAGACCAATTGCACTCACACCAATAGCGTTGGTTTTGAATGTAGATATTATATGGGATATTTCCTCTGTAGAAGTCAAGGTAAAATAAAGTTTTTCTAAAATTTGAGGTAGACAGGTATTTTCATAATTGTTTATTAGAGAAGGATCGCCAACTTCATCACTTTGGGTAGACAAGAAAAAATCATTAATCTGATCTGCAGCACCAATACTAGCGGGGACAGAATACGGGGTGTTACTGCGAACAATTCCTAGATTTCTAAAATTGTTCCAAAGTTCTTTCGAAGTGCGATCTCTAAAAACATAATTCAAGTAAGCTTTCTTCTCTCTTCGAAGGGAGGCATTAGTGAAGTTCCTCAACTGTTTATAATAAAGAAACTGTTCAGGGTTGCCGCTAGCCCGGAATCTGGCATATGCTTCATTGCGCAATGTCATGAGAAGCTTAACGTTGTCAGTTACCCATGGACAGTCCGTATATAAGAAACGATTTTAACTCAAATCACCGAAGTCGCTTGCGGGCGAGGCGCTAGAATCTTGCAAACGATTTTATTTTGAGATATATCAAAACTAGCGCCTCGGCGGAGTGATGACCATAAATGTAGGTATTAAATGACTTCTTATAAGAGGGGTTGTATGTTCACCAAGATATATAGGAAACGATTTCGTTTCAAATTGCCGAGGTCGTTTCGGGTGAGGCGTAGAATCTTGCAAACGATTTTGTTTTGAGATATATCAAACCTAGCTCCTCGCCCGTAAGAGACCTCGACGGTTTGAGGATAAATGTCTCTTTATCAATGACTTTGTATCTACGGAAACTATTAACTTTTAGGAGAATACTAAAGAGAGAAGAAAGTACCGCTAAAGAATGAACTCTACAACTCATATTCTTTTATATTAATATTCCATAGCGTTAAAAAGTTTTCATAAAAAAATCATGGGGGTGGTGAATTTCATCCCCTTAGAGGGTGCTAGGGAAGTTTAAGGTATGCTTGAAAGTAAGGTCTTAATCAGTAGTAAATTCGTACACAGTTTCAAATTCTACGGTTTACTTACAGCCGAAATACAATTTTTCTAGTCCCCAATTAGATAGGATTTTACATGTATAGTATTTTGATTATAACAAGAGAACCAGTCAACCGATTTCGATAAACAATGTCTCTTTCGAAAGCTCAATCCTTGGCCAATAGAAAGTGGAAATGCCCGATTCGAAATCTCTCTCGAATTCCGCTAAAACGCCAAAATAATGCGAAGGTACACGAAAATAACACAAAAATGACCTTTTTTAAGTGGTGATAACTCGTAAACGATGTAGGCGATGATCAAGATCTATACGTCATTCCATTCGCCGTAGTTTCTTCTATCGAAATCACAAAATGCCCGATTTCAATTCTCTCGCGTTAACCTTGTACAGCCCTCGGAATGACACCGTGTTCGACTCGTTGTTTATGCACGTATGAACGCCCGTAAGTCTAGCCCCCAATATAAAAATAGTATATTAAGTATTCAGAACGATAAATTACTTACCGTTCGCGATGGTTATAACATTTTTTGCACGATCGAAATGAATATAAATAATAATTAATTTACTAAAATGTGTTGACATTTGTAATGATTTATAAAGTAGGTAAAAAATTGGAATTAATTCTGTTGCCCTGGTTTTATTTACAAAAAAAAACAAATTGTGTGATTTGCACAGGTGATTTGTGAAATTGTATATCGTGTTCGGCTCGTTGTTTATGCCCGTATGAACACTCGAAAGTCTAGCCTCCAATATAAAAAAATTTATTTAAACTAAATCGACTATAATTAGAGAACGGTTTGAAGGATTTTAATGTTTTATATCTCAATTAAAAGTATGTGTCTGGCTGAATGCGGTAGTCGAAATGCCTGATTCTAAATATTTAAGGATTTTGATTAAAACACAAAAAAACGAATTAATCAAACACATCAATTATCTCCTTAACTAATTGACCAATTTTAGTCATCAACATCTCGATCAAAAGTATGATCTTCAATGAATGCGAAGGTGGAAATGCCCGATTTCAAAATNTATTAGAGAAGGATCGCCAACTTCATCACTTTGGGTAGACAAGAAAAAGTCATTAATCTGATCTGCATCACCAATACTAGCGGGGACAGAATGGGTGTTACTGCGAACAATTCCTAGATTTCTAAAATTGTTCCAAAGTTCTTTCGAAGTGCGATCTCGAAAAACATAATTCAAGTAAGCTTTCTTCTCTCTTCGAAGGGAGGCATTAGTGAAGTTCCTCAACTGTTTATAATAAACAAAATGTTCAGGGTTGCCGCTAGCCCGGAATCTGGCATATGCTTCATTGCGCAATGTCATGAGAAGCTTAACATTGTCAGTTACCCATGGACAGTACTTTTTTCGCTTAGTAATAGTCCGTAAAGGCACATGAGTATCATAGAGATTTACCAGAGCGTTGTTAAAAAAAGAGAGTTTGTCATTAATATCCTCCAAACGTATTAATTGATACCAAGGTAAAGAAATAAGATCACGCACAAATACTTCATGATTAAAGTTCCGTAAATCCCTATAAGTAAAACCCTCAGGAGAACTACTAGACCCACTTTCAACATTAACCCGAACAAAAACCATACAGTGATCAGAGACAGTGTGAACAGGCATCACCCCAGAATCAGAAAAAGAAACATCATCATGAACAAGAATATGATCAATTAGTGTAGAAGTAACTTGAGTAGATCTAGTTGATATTTTTTCTGAATAGTCTCTTACCTCTACTATTAAGTAGCTAAACGAATGAATTTTTGCGTCACGTTTAGCAATCTTCATCTACGATGGCCATCATCCGACAGCAATAACAAAGAAAACCGATATTTAGTTTTCTTAATGCATCATCCTTGTAATCTTCTTCGATCGTCCTAACTTCACAATTTCAATTTGTTCTTTGATCTGTTTGATATGTTTTACAATTAAATTTGATGTTATTTCTTAATCCAGATTTACTCGGAAGCAAAATATTGGCGATTACGACTAACTGCTCAACTAACGCTCAAACTTTTTGTTAATGTTAAAAAAGTTACTGATTAATTTGCTTTTCTGGGAATAAGAATGGAATTACTTTTTTAAAAATAAAAACACCATTATTAGTCATTAGTATTTAAACAAAATTTATTATTACTTTCTTTTAATATACTTTGTTACAAATCTCATGAACAATTAATAACTTATAATGGTATAGTACATAATATTAAAATATACAAGTATTTTTTTACACTGAGCTATATGGGATATCTCAACGTTTTAATTTATTTATACTTTTTTATTTTTATTAACTCGAATATCGCAGTGCGTGTCATATATTGTAATATCACAATATCTGATTGAAAGAAGTTTTAGTGTTTAAAAAGAGCCTGTAAATTATAAATAAAAGTTTTGGTTAGAAAGTTTTGGAAAAAGTTAAAAGAGATAGAAATAAAATAGGCATCAAAATAATATAAAAATGGCATCCTAAAATCACAGTTCGCATCTTTAATTTAAATAAATTATAAAATAAAAATGTATATTATTTCATTTGTGAATGGAGGGACAATTTTATCTTCAAAAGGAAAATGGAAAGAAGTTGTATAGAAAACTGTATCACAGGATACCTTTACAAAACTACGTTCTTACTTAATACTGATTAGTTTAACATTTTAATCCTTACATTTTAAAGCACCCTGCAAGAATTCGTAAAAAACGAATTTATTTACTCAAAACTTGTCGTATCCTGCCTTTAAGGTAGAGAACTTTACAAAAAAAAAAAAAATAATAGATAACATTAAAATTACAATAAAACATCTTTAATGATATTGTTTTTAATTTTGTATCTGGTATCTTAACAAAATATTATCTTACATTACAACCTATTAATTTTTTTAATGTTTTAACTTTATTAAAAACAAATAAATTATTCTTCATTTATTAAAGACAAGATACTGGCATAAGAACCTGACACCAAAGCGAAAATCGAAAACAAAATCAAAATGATGTTTTTGTACAACCGCCATTTCATCCAACCGAAACCGATTTCTAAACGCAAAACGATATCGAGTATCGACGGGATTAAGAGACCCAATGTTGAGAAGCAAATCGATCCGACGAGGCCGATGATCGGTTCCAAATCGGGGACGGCAGCTGCCACACCTGCGGTTAATGTTACGGCTACAGTTCTAACTAAAACTTGGCCCAAATTGTGGAAACGCGGTTGGAGACGGTCTCTTAAAAGTTTTCGCCATGTGATGTCCATTGGAACGTAAAATTGAAGAGCGTATGTGAAGAATACGGCTGCTGCAATCAATACTTTTGCTACTTGAGCTAAGCTGCAAAAGTATAAATAACGTTTAGTAACAAATATATAATATATATTTTTAATTACTTACACATGATCAGTTGGAATATTATAAGTAACACTAGCCGTCGTCTCTGAACCGTATTTCATATAGCCAAAGAATCCAATAACCGTATATAAAGCAACAACGCACGTCATAGCGCTATACAAAACTCCAGGACAACCAAGGAAATGTTGTGGTTTTTTCATGTTATTTTCAACGGGCATCACGACGCCAATTCCTTCCATCGCAAAAATAACAGTACTGAAGAAAAGAGGGATCGTATTGATCGTGCCGACATATTCGACGTCCTCGCCGATGTGTTCCATATCATCAAAAATATAGTAGAGTGTGATAGCGAATGAAGTAACGAGGAAAATATTGGCGAGGAAAGAGAATGGAACCAAGTACTTTAATTCACGAATTTGACAGCAGATTATCAATGGAACAAGGAATAGGAACATGTATGGAATCGCATCCCAACCTAAATCTGGTTGGTAATAATCTACGAGCTGAAATGAAAGGAAAATATTTAGAAAAGAATTCAATTTGTCATGGGTTTGTTAAAGTTTAAGTATTCACCTGTTTGATTGAAGTGGATATGAACACTACGTAAACTGCGCTGCCCATAAAGTAAGTAACGACCAGTGCTATGTCTACAACTAATCTGAAAAGATAAGGAATTATGTTAATTATTATATTCAAAAATAATATCAAATAAATATATAAATAAATACAAAAAGCTGAACTAATTTTGGACAAGATGGTTAATTTTCTGTTTGGACTTGTATTTTTATTTATCTTTCTTTTCCTTATTACTACCTATTTAATGATGCAACCAAGATCTTTTGACTAATTAAGCCAAGGCTGAACCTCTATGATTAACATTATTGTGGCCCAAGTGGCTTCAGCTTTATTATTTGAGGTTGTGGATTTTTATTGAATAATGAAGTTGAGGTTGCTTGAGGCCAAGTTCATAATGTTTGCAAATAAGCCTTAATTTTTCAATTTGTATTTTGTGTTTTGGAAAATTATGAAATTAACTCTTACAGTTCTATAAAATCATTCGCAAATCCTGTATTCTTAGCCTCATCAGATAATTTAATGTTGATGCTAGAAACAATAAGTTGCGAGTTATTAAAAATAAGAAATTTGTTTTAACAAAAGATTTTTTACTAAATACGGTAGCTTGAATTTTCGTAACATTTACTTTTAACCCATAGAAATTGGACAATTCAAGCAGTTTAGCACGATCACCATAAAAACTCTCAACAGCTAAAGTGAACTCATCTATAGTAGTATTTGGTTTTGGAGTCACAATAGAAGACTGACGAACTCGAAGCACTGCTCAATTCACAAAGAATATAATATCATATCTAGGCAAGATAAGATTGACCAGGCGACTTTATATTGTCGATAATTCTGATCAAGGGCCAGTTTCCAAGACTATGTATCCATGAAATAAGTGACGAAATGCGTTGTATAGCCAACAGTTACTTCTTAAAACTAATAAGAACTGCTAGATAACACCGCTAGACTATGGAACGACTTGTAAAAAGCTTTGGAATATTAACTTTATCTTTAGCAATACAGAATTACTAACGGTTAAAGAGGTATCTGCTACTACTATTTTTTTTGGGTACGATTTAAACTCAATGACACCAAATGAAGCTTCTTTCATTGGTTTCTATAGCATAAGAATCTAGTTTACAAATAATTATTTTTGTGTTTTTGTTACGTTTGTGGACGGTTTATTTTTGCAAAAAAAGAAAAACCAGTGTCAGAAGTACTGAAATTGACATATCCGCACTATTTTGGTTTTGCTATGACGAAGCAAGAGAAGACATGGGTTCCACGCGTTTTTTTGTGAAAGTTGTATAAAAGAAAGTTGCCGGAATAAAATGCTAGTTTTGTATGACACAGACTTGCAAGTTTTAATTCTAAAAACGAACATCAAATTGTTAATGCTAATATTGCATCTGACACAAAATCAATTCTTCATTCAGAAATCATACTACATACTGTTTGTCTTGCATATCAAGTAATGAAAAACTGGGGAGGAAGAGTTTGTTGACGTAGACTTTGATGAAAATTTCTTAATGGAAGAAGATAACAAACCACGTTTAATTAGCTACATTGAATTAAAGGAGTCAGAGCTTCTTGCCTCTCGATTGCAACAAGGGAACCTATTCACACTTAGGATAAAAGTAACATATTGCAGGAAAAAGAGTAATAGTTACGATGGTTTCTTCTTTAAAAAGAACGAGTTTTGTGTCTGCCATGATATACCAGGTCCTTTGAACGATTATTCGTCCCAAAATAGCTTAAAAGCAATATTCTTTGTTAATAAAAATGTTAATAAAAAAAAACTTTTTACAATCATGCTGTGAATTGTAAAGAAACTTATGACATACTGTTCTAATTAAATTGATAAAATATGAACTAAGCTGTTCACTGAAAAATATGTGGAGATTTGAAAGTGGTTGGAATGTTTTCGGTATTTATGGGGCAGTCGTGCTGGATAATATTATTACCTAAGAAAAGTGAGGCCTGTTTGGAATCGATTTAATCCAGGACAAATGAATGTTAAAGAAATGCCGTTGGTAGACCCACAAAATACAATTTTACCGCCGTATTAGTGAAAGAAAAGAATGTTTGAATAAAAACGATATCCCTTATTTTTTTGAAACAATTATTACAAAATTATTACAAGATTAACTAATACCCATTTTTTTAAAGAATAACATCTTGGCCCCTACTGAATCATTGAACCGGGGTATTCCCATCGTTGAGACTGATACTGGACATTCTAGGTTCATGGAATTTAATCAGTTCAGATTTAGATTAGGTTCTTTATTCAAGAGGCCCAATTGGCGAAGTTTTTATTTAATAAAAACCTAATGACTAAATAAATATACTTAAAAGAGTACTTTTCTCACTAGAAATTTTTTTATTAGTTTAGCAATTGAAGCTAGCATATTGGAACCTTGTTGAGGTTCAATTCGAGGATCAGATCAATCTGAGAGAGATAATGTAGAAGATGCTCGGTCTTCCATTCGGTTATTAGATAGGGGAATGATGTTGGAGTTCTTATTCTGAATAAGGTTTTGTTGGTACCTGAGAGAAATGGTCGGAGGTGTGAAAAGTCATATACGTATTTATTTATCACCCAGTCACATCTACGCAGCACCTTAGATCCAAATGAACCAATTAGTATGCATGTGTATCACATGAGGAAATAAATTCTCCTGGAAGCACGTTCTGGTAAACCTAGTCTCAAAGTTTGCCATGGTTTTAAGGATTAGTAGCGGTGTTCAAATTATTCTTGAATAGCTAAATATTATGTATTTGCCCTACCTTAATCCTTTAGTGCCCGACGATACTTTTATTATTTATTCAAAGACATTCAGTATTTTGCAGGTTAGTAATTGGGGATAATGATTAGTTTAGTTGTTTTACGCAACATTTATAAATATAATATATGTTTTGGCTTAGATAACGCTCTTTATTTCAGAGGTCTGAAAAATACCGTCAAGAATAAATACGCAATGTCCGATAAAACAATCAAATGGCAAACGATTGCAGATGTAGTTTTATTGGTGAATTTATCTTTAGATAACAGTGTACTAATATTCATAGAAAACAACGATGATGACAATGTAGGAATTTTCTTTGGAGGTGCTTTTTCCAAATCTAATCCAACCTTGTCCTTCGACTTCATGTACCGATGATAATCAAAGAGAAGCAGAAAATAATATAGTAACTGATTATAGTCTTCCACACGGCGATCGGTTTTTATGACTCTGTCACTTTCCTACTGTAGTTGTAAAACTAACAAAGACGGGGTTGTAACAGGTAGTTCCCCATTGTAAAATGCTGGGATTCCTCACTCAGGACGGCATTAAGGACCACACTTTACTGGTAAATTGTAGAAAAATAATAGGGTCATATATAAATATTCATTATTCTCTTATTTGTTGTGTTTCTAATATTAAGTACATATTTTTTCTAAGAAATGTTTTGAGGAGGCATGCATTGACTACTTACAAAAGAGGGCGGAGAATAATTAGATTCTTTAAAATTTTGTTATTTTCTTATTTAGACATTCCTAAAAGTAATATTTTTTTCTAATTTGATCAATGTTAATAGTAAAATCCATTTTACCAGTAGATGTGAATGATATTTGATTGAATTTTGATTTTTATAAATCACTAATTGTACTTGTATACTGGTTTATTATAAGTAAATCCGCTTTACATGTTTCGACTAATTAGTCATCTTCAAAAGCGTTGTCGTAATATAAGAAACGGCGTTCAAAAAACTTCGCATAAAGTATAAATCGTAAATAAGGTCAGCATATCAAAAACGGTGATATTCAAAACAATTATTGTAAATATTAAATTTTAAAAAACTATAGAACTAACATGTTAAAATGTAAATGTAAAGTTTAAGAATTAAAATTAAAAACGACGTTACTTGAAAGTTACAAAAATAAAAATCTTAATTTTTAAAATCTTAATTTATACTTTATGCGAAGTTTTTTGAACGCCGTTTCTTATATTACGACAACGCTTCTGAAGATGACTAATTAGTCGAAACATGTAAAGCGGATTTACTTATAATAAACCAGTATAAAAGTACAATTAGTGATTTATAAAAATTAAAATTCAATCAAATATCATTTTTTTCTAAGACTTTTATACTAGTTTTTATAATTAAATTTTAGTTGTTATAACTAAACTTTGGTTTTTTATTAAAATTAGTTTAAAAAAATTTAAGTTCTACCCTGTCCTTGTATGACTGTCATAAGTCTTTTCAGGTACTTGAGCGGGCAAAAATCACCCCGGCTTTTATTTATGACTGTCATAAAAACCGATCTGGATGTGGAAAAGTATACCAGATAGAAAATAATAGTTTTGTCCCATCAACACCAAATAACGAAGATGGCAATCGCCGTTCTTTTAGAATGAGTTCAAAAAAGTTTACACAAAATGATGATGAAACTGAAACGGACCCATGTAGTAATAATAAAAGTCAGGGTAAAGGTAAGGGTAAAAGTGGAAAACAAACAAGTAAACAAGAATTACGAAAAGGAGCATATCATGCCAGAATGCAACTTATCTTGTGGTCCGGTAGAAGATGAGTTTAGTGATTGTTCTAGTCCTAGTGACGTTTATTGACTGGGAGATGTAATCGACAGCATAGTTTTCTGCTGCTGCTTTCTTTTATGGGAATAAATATCATGGTTTGCCAGCGTGGAAACAATATTGGAATGGAAGTCCTGATCTAGGTTTACCAATAATAACCAACGACACTAATGTTCTTCTACGTGGCAATATAGATAAAATATATAAAGTAAGACCAAGAGGCTATAAAATTTGGCGCCAAGCAGATCAAAATGCATATTTGAAGTTTGGTCTAGGTGAACGTGTTGTATCATCTCTAACAAAATCTGATTGGAATAAGAATAAAATTGTCTATGGTGACAATTATTTTACATCCATCTCCCTGTTAGAACAACTTTGGCTCAGTTCACGCAAAGCGTGTGGTACAATTCAACAAAAGAGAATAGACTTTTCAAAGACTATGATTGAAGACAAGAATTTGAAAAGAGGTGGTTCTGATTTTCGAGTGTCCACAGCAGATGTAAGAGTTTTCAAATGAATG